TTGAATAATTTAGATCCATCTTTAAATAAGACACCGTTTAATCAAAAAGAAAAAAAATTGATTATAAAATTACAGCGTGAATTAGGTAATAAATGGAAGGATATTGCAGAAAGATTAGATAATCGATCTGAAAATGCTATTAAGAATTTTTATTATTCATACAAGAAGACTAAAAATAAAAATAAAAACATATAAATAAAATGTGATTGGTTTAATAATTTTAATGATTGATTTCAAATAAAATAAAAAAATAACTTCTTAAATGAATTTATTATAAAATGTTATTGTGTATATAATAATATTTTATAATGAATATATTTAATATTGAAAGATATAAAAATGAAAGATGAAAGAGATATTTTATAAAACATTGAATAAATAAATCTATTGTCGTAATAATTGAGATTATTGGACCAAATGATGTAATTTTTTTATATATATAATTTTCTCACTAGTTTTATATTTATTTCCTTTAGAGAATTTTACTTATGAATATTAACAGAAAAGACAATGACAGAGATAATGTTAATAAAGACTCGATAGATGATAAGAGAGTCAAAGATGATGATAGAGAGATTATAAGTGATAGATTAAATAAACTTTGTTGTTCATCCTCTACCGATTTCGGCATCTATAATAGAAAATAACTATTTTATTAATAATTTTTTTAGAAATTTACATTTAAACTGATTTTTATAATTAAATGAATAGTCTTTTAAGAGAAAAATATTTAATTGATATTTTTATAAGAAGAAATTTATTATTTTAATATAAAATTATTTGTTAGTAGTCATATTAGTTCATTATTTACAAACAATAAATGAATTATTAAAATTTAGTTCATTTTGTATTGCTAAGTTTAAAGATTTATCAATCATTAATTAAAAAATCCACGCACATCATTTTTTGAGAAAATAAAGAATATCTGTGATAAACACTTTGATTTTAATTTATCATATTCTAAATAGATTTTACTAAAATTAGATTAATTTTTAATCAATAAATAAGGATTATTTTATACTATGAACTCTGATTTAAATAATTAATAGAATATTTTTTTATTATCAAATTCTAACTAACGGTTAATATAAGTTATTAAATTAATATTTGATGAAAATTATCATTTGGTTATAAAGACTTAGAAGCTATTATCTTTAATTAATAAATTTATCATTATAAAAATTTTTATATTTTTTTAGTTGAAATCAAAAGTAAATGTACAAATAAATTTAGTTAGTATGTTTATATTATTCATTATTTTATATTATATCTTATCATCATTATTTTATATTATAATTTTTATCAAAAATAAACAGTTTTATAAAATTAGACTAAATAATCACAAGTTAAAAACATTTTTTA